GAAGCAATTGTGAGCTTAGTAAAAAAACTAGCTGATACGTAGCTGTACCCTTTTTGGGCTTATACCTTTTATTCTTATAAAATTGTAGGCTATTTCTTCAGCTTTTGTAAAGTCCGCTAATTCTAAGAATAAGCTAGAAAAGAAATAGAGCTTATGCTTCAGGTTTTTGCTTGTAGCTGTATTCTACACTTCTTACCACTGCCTTGCAATCCTTGTTATCAAAATGTCCCAACAAGTAGTTCCAAAATAAGAAAAATGGTTGATGTGTGTACTAAGCAACATCATCCTACTACAATCCGCCGTGGCCAGGTCTGGATTCTCCATGTGGTGGTCACTGGTCCTGCGAGGTCAGGCACTGCTGGCCAGATCTACCTGCACAGCAAGCTCATTTTCACGCGGGATATGTGGAGTCTCGTTTAATTGCTATGGAAGGAACAGTGTCGATGCAGAGGTATGATCAGGGATTAGCTAAAATAGAGTATTCATTTTGCAAGATGTATACAATGCTGTATCACATGCTTTATCCAATTCGATGCTCACAAAAAATTCACGCAAACAGGGGAGCTATAAGGATTCCTATGAAATAGATGTGGAAATTGAGGTTGTAAGTGGTTTCATAACTTGCTAAAATGATGTGGCTGTACATGGCTGAGATGGGACATGGGTCTAATTCTGGGCACTCCCACTACACCCTTCTACCTCTTTTGTCGACTGTGTTCTTTCTGGGTCATGGCTAACTGCTTTATTTGCTTCTCAAATGTGGGCACAATACTTGCACCCCGAATTTAAGTAATGAGTGAGTTTTTAATGGTCAATGCAACTTGAGCAATTCAGTCTTACATTGGCCGATGCTCTATTTAATTCTGAAGCTGAATGACTGCAACTGGGAGGAGAATATTTCTGGTTCAGCAAGGAACTGAGGCTTTTGGTGATTTCAGGAGTGGCACCCAACTGCACAGACTCTTCATAGTGTCAGCGTGAGAAAGATACAACTACAGCTTCCCAGAAGAGTAGCCCCAGGGATTCCTGAGTTGTGTTCGGGAGAAAAAAATATTATATGCATACATATTCATATTATTATTATTTATTGAGATGTTTATAAAGAAGCATTTTTGAAGAGTTGTCTTCATATAGCAGAGAAGAGATCGTCTTGGTCATTTATCAGAAAATTTCACTTTCCCAAATCATGCTTACTCATCTTGAAATGTTGTCATTGATTTTATAATCTACATTCTCACTATTTTGGGGAAGCACATATGAGTAATGATACAATAACATACATAGTCAGTTTTACATAAAAGTGTGGCAATCACTTGCCGATATAGTATTGGTATTTTTAGGAAGAAGTTTCATTTCTTTTGTTATATGTTTTCAGAGTGCAAAGTCAGATAAAAAGGAAAATGATTTAATAAAAAGATTGCCAATGGATTAGATCAATTTCAACTGATATTGATTTCTCTTTATTTATATATAAACACAAATGCTGATTAGGTTTTTTTGCATCTAAACTGTAACAATGCGCTTAGATTTTTAAAATCTTTCTTTTTTTCTAAAATCTTTTGAAATGGGTGATTAACATACCAAGAGTTCAAGATAGGCCTTAGTTTTTCTGCCCTGTTATCTTTGGAAATTACATTAAATATTTTATTATTTAATATTTCCTTCTTCAGATGTTCTTCTGTGAAAATATTGAAGGGTCTTACTTTTATCTGTTTTCCTTTTTCAGTTATTTTTGTGTAATAACTGAAGGCCTATTTTCTGTTTGTAAATATTTTTAGATAATTCTTTATTCTATAAAATGCTTTGGGATGCAATATTTGTTTATTTTAACTTAGGAAAAAAGTGCGAGGAGCGGAAAGGGGTGATCCAAAGACAGCCACACAGAGAACTGAACTCAGTCCTCCGTTTATTCACTTCGCCCATTCGAGAATTGCCGTTGATGCCAGAGATCATTCAGCAAATGCAGAGTGAAAAAAACTGTTTTTTCCCTTGTTATGCTTATGATATATGTCTGAGAATACTCTTGGATTGTAGCAGCTCTGAGTGTGATCCTATCACAGCTTGAGCTTCAGAACTTGCAGTCCACCCAAATCCCTACATCTGTGACCTGTGAACTATTAGTAGGTCAGCTTTTTTCTCCATTTAGTATTTAGGCAGTTAATTTCTTAGACATAAGTGCAGCATAGTCACAGCTATAAAATTTAAAAAAAAATTAATTTAAACCTATAGCTCTGACCTAGTGAGGTGATCTAACATCTGGGTTCTCTTGCTTTGTGGTTTTTCTACTTTAACCCCAGGCCTAATCCTGCCCTCAGGCTTATGTCACTTTGTTATCACCCCCTCCGCCCTCCATCCAAATCACTGATAAAACAATGTCTGAATGGAATAGGGCAATTTCCAGGTTGCTATTAAGCCATTAATTAATTGTCCCTGTTTGCATGTCCTTGAGCTCAAATAACCTATTGACTCTAATCAGTAAAATGATAATAAACAAGATATCACTTTTATATATTCGATGGAGGCACAATGTCATCTTCTAAAGTTGTTTAACAGTAACAAGTTCAAAAGTAAACTTCTTTAACAGTAGGTAATAATAATTCAGGGTGGGTTTCTAAGCAGGTTTGGTAAATTGGACAGTAATTGCACAGTTGATACTCACACTATCTGTAGAAGGATCAGAGCACACTCAAATGGAGTAGACAACTTGGTCATCCAGTGGACATCATTAATTTTGGTGAACGGGACTAGTTTAACTAAGCTCTCTTGATTAATCCTACATGAGCCAAAGTGATGAGGGCAAGATACTGGTTTGGCAATTGAAAATTTCGAAATGAAAAGGAATGTCGGTATTTTTTTGCATATTCTTGTCCACATTCTTTTGTAACATCTCAACTGTGCTAATTAGAGGATATTAGAACGCAGTGTGTTTGTCATAATTTTTATCACATGGAAGGCACAGGAATATAGATTTTAAAAACTTGATTAAAATTTATTTGAAGTTTTGGAAAATGCTAAAAAATTTTCTGAGAGAAAAATTATGTATATATATTATGTTGTATAATATATAACATAATATAATATAATATATAATATAATATAATATGCCCTTCTCTATATTATGTTATATATATGTGTGTGTATACACACACACACACACACACACACACACTCACACATACGTGTCTTACTACCTAGATTTGTTCAATATATTTTATAAGATTATAACCAAAGATCTGGGCTTTGTAATTCAATATTTGTAGGAAAAAATCTTCAACCAGAAATATATAAATAAACACTAGAGCATGTGTTCTCAGTGAAAAAATTGAGACTTCATTTTGGGCTTAAAATAAACATTTGGCTGTGATCTCAAAATTTATGCCCAAAGTTGTTCGTTTTTAGGTTCCTGAACAGTCTGGTCAGTAAAACTTTTCATTCTAATGCTAGACAGAATCAGCAGAGATGAATACAAGTTGATGTCATTGAAATGGCACTCACAGGGCACCTGGGTGGCACAGTGGGTTAAGCCTCTGCCTTTGGCTCAGGTCATAATCTTAGGGTCTTGGGATCGAGCCCCACATTGGGCTCTCTTCTCAGCAGGGAGCCTGCTTCCCCCTTTTTCTCTGTCTCTCTGCCTACTTGTGATCTCTCTCAGTCAAATAAATAAATAAAATCTTAAAAAAAAAATGGCCCTCACAGACTTTATTCATCCTAGGCTTTAACCCTGACACATACGCATTTTTTTTTCTAATTTTATTGAGCAACCCAACGTATGTGGAGTGTACAAAATCCCACCAAATCAGATTCTGATGCTTTTCCTCATGTCTCTTCTTTGCTCACCATGTGACAAGGATATTTCTCTCTCTTTCCTGTTCATCTCTCTCCTTTCCCTTTCACTGTCTGCCTCTCTCCTCTGAACCCCATCAAAACCAAGCCAAAACAAACAAAACTACCCCAAATGCGATTCTCCATCTCACTTCCAGCCTTTAACACTGGACACTGCCCTTCTCTATTTTATGGAAACCATTCCTACTGTCCTTTATGTTTCAGCTCAGACCTGCCTTCACTTGGGAAGTCTTAAAAGATGCACTCCCTTTGCCTTCTTGCCTCACCCGTGGTGCAGGCAGGTGCTCTCCTGTTGTACTCCCATACACCTGACTACCTAGCAGCTTGCGAGCTCCAAGAAATCTAGGCCTGGGCCTGCCTTGTTTATGGTCTTATAGCTTACAGACAGTAGGAGCTCAATAAAAAATAGGAATAATAAGAAAAAAAGGGGGTAGAGAGACAATGCTGTTTTAGAGAAAATAAGTTTAAAAACTCTCTTAAGTGCATCTTGGGATGCAGCCAAGCCACCTATCTGCAGTAGAGGTGGGTCAGAAGTCAGCCTTCTCGATGGACACAGGCGCTGCTTTTATCAGTGGCTGAAAGTCTTCTACAGACTTCTTATTTATAAAATCAGTCACTTCCATACATGCTGAAAGTTCGAGAGTAGATATGGGCTCTAGAAACATGGATTGATATTGCTATACAACATGACTGGCCCCAAGGACCCATTTCCCAACTACCAAACTGGTGATTTGTACTGGCTTTGCGGTCTTACTTCTTTCTTACTAGCCATCTTCAGTCTGTGGGCTGGGGACCTAAATTCCTTTTATGTACCTTAAAATCTACTCCAAATTTTCCTGATGAAATCCCAGTTTGTTTTACAAATTGGCTAAGGTACCATGATTAAGAGAACTGACACCCATTTAGGAGACAAAATAGTCTGTTTAAATCTTGACTCTATTGCATAGTAATCTTGAACAAGGTCGTGATGCGAACTTGAACAAGTCACTGTGTTGAACTGAACTTGCTTCATATGTGCAATCAGGAAACTGGTCCTGGTCCATGTTTAGGTTTTTGACATGATTAGACTCATGTGAAAATCTGTTGTAAATTCTAAGCACTGTGATGTCACAAAGTGATATGAATTGACAACAGAGTCATGGAAAGGAAGTTGTCCATCCAGAGCGATGTTGAGTTTTCATTAGCCTGGGAATAGATCTTTATGTCCGGAATTATGAGATGGGTTTTGCCATGGGGGATGGCTGGATGAAGAGGTATTTGTAGTGCTCCCTCTTGTTATGAGAACCTCTGGAAGACTTTTATTGTTCACTACTCTCAAAAATTTATCCAGATTTCTAAAATACCTTGAGTTCTGAATGTTTAGATTTAAATTATATTTATATTATGGTTGAGTACGATTCTTTTCTTGCCTAGATAGTTGAATACTATTTTTGTGTGCGAGTAAGCTTAAAAATTGACTGTCTAAATATTTAACCAGAGTTATTTTAAAAGAATTTCATTATTTATCTTCTTTATGATTTATATTATCACATTCTGTGTCTGTAGTTATGGTTTATCATAAGCAGCCCATCTGCTACAACAGCCAAATTGGAACATTCATATAAGATGAGTTTAGATATCATAAACATGACAAGAGATGGGTTACATTCAGTGTTTCTCCATGTTTAACCAATTTAATTTGTTTCCTATGCAGAAGAAGCTCTAAATTTACTTAATATATGTTAGCACTTAGGAACATAGTTAGAAACAAGGCGAAGGTCTTAACCTATTCGTAAATAAATGAGAAGATTCCTGTCGGAGTGAAAGAGAGAGAGAGAATTTATGTCAAACAATCAGGAATTTAATACATAGTGGTCTTTTAGGATGTCCAGTTTGTGTACATACTCTTAAGGCATGATTACGAATAACTTCACTTCCTATAAACAATGTGACTGGAGAAATTACTCACAGATACAACAAAAAGGGGAAGAAAGGTAAGACGTTTTAACTAAAGCCAATAAGTGAATTACTTTCCCTGAAAAGGTTAAAAATGGCAGATTTATTTTTCGTTGCCATAATATTTGTCTGTGTTGGCCAGCTATCTGAGGTATTCTCCAGAAGATGCAGGGCTCCTTGAGACGTCACCACATGACCCCAGGTTCAAAGTTACGGCAGAGTCCTGAAGGATTTTTCTCCTCTGTAATTTGGGGACTCAAGACGTCTTAACCAAAGACTTCAGTCTGTTGGCTAAATGAAAGTATTGATACTGCTGTAGTGAGAACTTTCAGTGATTAGTCTGAATTTCCCTCTGCCCCTGGTAGAGGTCAAGTAGAGGACTTTTTAGTGCAAGCGAAAGAGTCATTCATTTTTCACTCTTTAGGTAAAGGACTTATGTCATATTATTAGTGAAAATGTGATTAACTGTTAAAGCAACATAGGCCTTAATGATCTACAAAGCCATTTCTCTCAAAGTTATGGATTCATTGCTCTGCAGTACTAAATATATGTTGTTCTAGGATCATGCAAGTCATGAATACTAAAAATAAAAATAAACATATTTCTTTGATGATGATTTATTACCAAACAATTTGGAGCTAATACATTTACATTATAGGATGCAAATACAAATGTGACATAAGCAAGTGGGCCTTTAAGATGAAGTGTCATTACTTTTGGAAATATGGGCAGTGCTTCAACTTCATCACAGCCTTTGTAACATAATGTTTTGAGAGCCTGTGACTGATGTTTCAACTTGCAGCAGTTTGGTTCTTAAATTCCATACTTAGCAAGAGAATGGTTTCATTCAGCCTCATTGATGACCTAAAACCCATATGCGGGGATATTATATGCCATTGTGAATTAGTATGCGAAGCTGGTAAAATGAGATTGACCAGGGATAGGGGGGTTCCTTTCTGGTAAGATGCTGAGTTCACAATGAGCATAAGGCAGAGCCATGGCAGTGACAGACCTAGTAAGGAAGGGTACCAGGAACCCACACTGGTACGAGCAGGCATCATCGCTCCTCTCTGGCTCTGCAGAAATACTCCCCAGGGGTACTGATGCTAACAGCATGGTTATTTTTCTGTATCTGGATAAAGCTCTTGTTACTTGTGATCACTCAGCAAGCTAAAAAGCCACACGGAAGCTGAGTATGTGCATGTCAGGTTGACCTTGCTGTCCTTTTCCCCATCTCTGTCTCTCCTCCTTCCAGCCCCACAGTCCCTTATCTGTCCCTTTATTTCTTTCATTCCTTCTTCAGTTGTCTCCACTCCCCTTCCTTTCCTTCATTTATTTTTCTTTGCTTTCTTCTTTTCCCACTTGATCATGTTTCTTGCTTTCTGCAAGAAACTAGGAGAGAAGCTGACGTTAAGTATTGTGGCGCTATATTCTTGGCACTGTCAATAACTTGCTTGGAGGAAAGGGGTTTTCTGGTATTGGGAGAGAACTGCATTCCTTGTGACAGAATATGAAATTCTCTTGCAGTTCTTGTATCGGTGTTACTAATTTTATTACTGCAGTCTAAGTGGATCCGCTATTTTCTTGGCGATTGCTTCTATGGGTACGATAAGAATAATAAGATAGTTAAAAAGGTATTTGTGCAAGGCCTTTAAGAAATAACTCAACGATTCGAAAGGAGGACAAAGGAAGCAAATGATGGAGCGTAGTACACATTATATGAGCCCCGCAGACGGCTCTACAAGTTAGACTGCCCCAGTGTGCGTCTAATTTATGTAGCTGATAACCCAAGTTAACAGAGACCCTGGCACTATTATGGAGGTAATATTTTCTCAAGGATGTACAGTCTTAAACAACTTCTTCCTGTATTAGGTTCATACATGGTTTTCTTTAACATAAAGCAGGTATGTCTGTTCTCTTGTTCCATTTCATTTTCTTGGAAAAATAAATTTATTGCAGGCCCGCTGAATGGAAATTCTGCTTACTGTTTATGACTGAGGTTGCTCTCCCCTCTTCTGTATTACCCAGGGAATTAGTTCAATATAGAGCCTTATTCCACACCCATTTCTTTATTTTTCCCCTCTCCATCCTTCTTTGCAGGGTTTGGTTTCAAAACCTATATTGCCACAGAGCAGCTGGTAGCATTTAGCAAACCACCTGCACAAGTAGTTCTGTTTCCAATGGAAGAAAATTTAGCTTACATAAGGCCAAAACCGGTAAGGTGTCGGCTTTTCCATTTTTATTTGTATTTGTGTACATTTTCCTACTCATTGATGAATGTTCTGCTAAGTGAAACTCAACTCCTTGGTAAAGAATGAGAAACAGTATGGTATAGCAGTCCTTTGTTTCAGGAAGGCTCTGGCAAATTGGAACTCTGTCAGGAAGGCGAGAGGTTGATCGTAGCCAGGAAGAGACTTTTAAAATCTGTAACTTCTTTGAAGGGTGAGAAGGCACCCTCTTGAACTAGAAACTCTGCTATGATTTTCCAGGTAACGGTTCCTAATGCAGACTAGGACAAGTGTCCTGGTGAGTGCTGGCTTCCCATGAAAGGCATCATGTGGTCAGACTTTGAATACCCCACAGTAAATAAATTACCTTCCTACTGCTTGGGAATAAGTTTAAATCTCAAAGATTTTATTAAATTGTTCACATAACTACACACTGAATATTGATCTGAACTGCACTAGCAGTGACTAATGTGTCAAGTGGTGACTTTCTTTAAATCAAGGTAGCTATTCTATAAATGAAACTCCAACCTGAAAAGCTGGCCATCTACAAATAATATCTGATGACTAACTTATGTAAGTGAACTGCAGCTCATAAGTCATTCTTGCTTACCTCTCTCATGTACTCCTCAGTTGGCATTTTTCCCCCCTTAGGTAGAGGAACTGAATCAGAGGAAGGCTATGTGACTTGGTCAAGGTCACTTCGCTGGTTAAGAGTAAATTCATTCAGACTTCTAGTATAGTCACCTTTCAAGGAGAAGAGTTTAATGGTTTGTATTGTTTCATATAGGCCTGAAAGTTATTGAGACCCACATATATAGAGATGCAGTCATTGTCTCTAGGAAACTAGACCATGTATATACTATGCAGAATGCTGAACCAAAGCTAGATTTCTTTTTGAATCCCATCGTGAGATGGAAAGGATCCTAGAAGAAATTTAGAAGAATATCATGGCTTTATAAAAAACCAAATATATGTGACCAAGGTCACCCATTGGCAGTGCTGATACTTGAACCCAAATCAATCCCTTTGCTTTCCTCTCCTTTTCCTCCCTTCCCTTCCCTTGTGTTTTCTCTTTCTTTTCTTTTTCATTTCTCTTTCCTTTCCTTTATCCATTCTCTCTCTCTCTTCTTTCCTCTCTTCTTCCTCAAATGCTGGAACACATATTCTGAGCCAGTTTCTACTCATCCAAGCTAGGTGTTGAATTTTAAAAACCCACTAATAACTCCTCCCCTGCCTTCAGGAGTTTTAATGAGGGATCAATTAACTGGAACAGTGCCATCTGTCATGGTGGAGGTATAGGATATTAGGTGTGTGTGATGCTTGGGAGGGATATACAACCAAGTCTAGAGGGAGTCAGAGAAGGTTTCCTTAAGGGAGTATATCTTAACCAACACCCAAAGGATGATTATTCTAACGAAAGGGAGTTTTATAGTAGCAGAGAAAAATGTTCAGGTATCAGCCCAGAGGCAAGAGAAAGAAGGGTGAAGTTTATCATTTGAAAGAAGTTTGATAGGAGTATGGGCGGGCAGGGAGTGTAGTGAGAGAAATACTGGATGAATTCCCTTTAAAGATAAATTGAGTTCAACATTAGATGTTTGTAAGACACCATTAGGAGCTATGAAGATTATAAGCTAATACTCTTTAATTATAATGGAATAATCTAGGATAGTGAATGATAAAATGGTAAGTCTCCCCTAAGAGGATACAGATTATGAACTTCTCTTGAGGTTCAGAGACAAAAGAGGTCATTGTTGGCCATATTAAGCCACCATAGTAAGACACCAAAGGAGGTGTCAAGGAAGATTTTCAAAGATGAGTAGCGTATCTGTAGATCATACTTTCTTGTATTCCTTCTGTCAATGAGCAAATAGTCTTTACCATCTGTCTCTGTCACCTCAATTTCCATTCAGTCTTCATCTTAGTACAAGTTCTATTTTGCCCACAACACTTGAAGAAGTAGTAGTGACCCCCAACTGCCACATCCAGTGTATTTTTCAGTCTTTTGCCCACTATAATGTCCTAAGGACAATTTTCTCCTTCTCAGACCCTATTCCTCCTCTGGCTTCTGGACCAGCACTCACTTCTGTGTCCCCCCTCTAATTCTGTCTCCTTATCTTCCCCTTCACAGACCTCAAATGTTGGTGTTTCCCAGAGTACAGACCTCAGCCTTCTTTCTTCACCTGAAGAGTCTATCTATTTATCCATTAAGGACTCCCAAACAGTGACCTTAATCTCCAAACCTACAATTCCATCCTCTTGCTGAACATCTGTACCTGAGTATCTTACCCCACTTCAAGTGAAGTGAAATCCCTTCTTCCTCACCTTATTTCCCATTGTAATTAATGGTTTCACCTTGCTTTTCAAGCTAGAACCTGAAAGCTTACCTTGACTTCTTGCATTCCTTTTCTCTTCACTCATGTCTAGTGATTTGCCAAATTTAATAATCTCTACTTCAGAGATATTCCTTGATTCTGCCTGATTCTCTCAAAGTGGCACTGCTTTCCCCTTGATTTAGAGCTTCACCACCCATTGCCATGATTGCATGAAGAGTGCTCTCCCTGCCATCACCATTTTTTTCTAAACATCAGTGTTGAGATAATCTTTTATTTGCTTAAGTAATTACTTTGTCTCCTTCTTGTTCTGCTGAATTGCTGGGTCCCTTAAAGATGCCTTAAAGAGATACACTGGTGCGGGGAGGCTCCTGAGCAGCTCAGTAGATTAAAAAAAGGACTCTTGGTTTTTGCTGGGGTCATGATCTTGGGGTAATGAGATCAAGCCCTGTGTGGGTCTTTGCACTCAACATGGAGTCT